CAATAGAAGGTGTAGGTATTTAGAAAATTGTATTTAAATGCCGTCAAAATGATTAAAATTTTATCATGAAAATTGCCCATAAACTGAGAATCACCCAATGATTTGTGAAAAGTAATATTACTTAATGGAAATCACATGTTTTTAAGGAAAATAAATGAAATTGTCCTACTAAATGTAAACTTAAAACATTTTTATTTAACTTTGAAAAAGTATTTAAAATCCACCGAATCTATAGTCAATTAATGACATTGTTTAAACAATTATTTCATTGTGCTTGTGGGAGAGACGAAGTAAAATGTTAAAATATTTCATGGATGTGTAAAACATGTGATTATAATCTTAAATACATTTACTGTAGTTTAATAACTATACATCTGATATTATATTTAAATAATTAGGTTTGCACCATCGATTTATTAATATTTTTTTTTAAATTTCCCTTTATGAAATTACAACCGTATATACTTACAATTAATGTTACGACTTTTGACCTATCGATGCTATATTTATAAGCTAGTAACTGCATTTTGGTATGTGTTCCAAGGTTAAAAAACAAAAATTTAAATACACATAATAAGTGATAGAGATTTAGTTACTTTCAAATCACTCTTATTCTATAGAGCTCAGAGACTGGAGTTATGTGATTTAAATATACTGATGCAGTTACATCTAAGGTTTTTATAGGCAACGATCGATGTTATAAATAGAGTTTATATTATTGTGACGGTCTTGATGAGTTTTAGTATTAATAAATATGATTGAAATTCAAAAATATCTCGTTTGAAGTTTAGCTGCATTTTCAAAAATACGTTAAAAAAATATATTTTAATCTGCCCAATTTCGGCAGACAAGAATTGTTTTTCGAAGCAGTAAGTGAAAGTTGGGTGATGCGCGCGTCGGATTTTTAATTTTACGGCTACATAACGTTTAGGCCACTTATATTGCTCATGAACATTGATCTAAGGGCTCTATACATCTCAGAATAAAATTTACTTTTCTTCTTCTTAAAAGAATACTTGAAAAATGGTTTCACAAATGAAGAATTAAAATCAATCCCAGCAAGTCAACCCATATTAGCTTCTCCCTGAGAAAGATCTCGTGAGCTGCTGTGACAATAGACAATAAACCAGTTCCATCAAAAACACATGTACGGTATCTTGGACTATACTTGGACAAAAAACTCACCTGGAACATTAAAAATTAAAAAAATTAAAAAAAAAGAACTGACCAGACGATACAAACAACTGTCACACATTTCGGATTACAGACCCCCACTCAACTTACTAAACAAGTAACTAATCTACACCATTTTACTAAGACCTATGGACATACAGAGCAGAACTTTGGGGTTTCGCAAAGCACACACACATAAACAAAATTCAACCCACACAATCCAAAATACTTCGTAAAATTGTCAATGCTCCTTGGTTTATTTCAAATCACACCATACACACAGACATGAACATACCAAAAGTAAAATACACAACAAGTACACAACATTCCATTCTTCTACTCTCAATCATCCAAATGCGCTCCTTCTGTCTCTATCTTCCTCCCTGTTACCTGGTGAGCCTCAAAGACGACAAAAAAGGCAGAGGCCTAGAGATCTGCTGAAAAGTTAAGAAAATATCAAGAATTCAAGAAGATAGAATAAACTCCAACACATTTGCTTGATGCACAGTGGCAAATTTAATGAAAAATAAATAAAAGAAAATCTTTTAATTATCATATTCTTCTCCTTGGATATAGGCGGAAGTAGTAAGGTGATTATATAAAATTATATTTAAAAAAAAACTGAAATCTCTTGTCCTTAATGGCCTTAAGGATTTCTGTGTATCGCACAAGGATACAAGATCCTTATCCTAATAAAGAGGTGTCGTCCACCTTGGCTCGGGTATCTTTTACGTCATTTGGTCAGTCATTAATGGGCGTTCAATCTGATCATTTTCGAATCATTGGAAGACCATCGATTATTTAAAGAAGGTTCGTGGAAAATTCCGCTCAGTAAGCTTCACCAACGTCAAAAAAACAACAAAAAAAACTTAAGTTGTAATAAAGATAAACTATAAAGCTGAAGAAGATTTGCGGTTTATTGGTCTGTTTGTTGCCAATCCGGAGAACTCAGTGCACATATTTTTACAGCGCAATTATATGTTGTATAAGGTTTACAAGGGGTTGGTGATATGTGTTATCATTTATGAACAGTTACACAGGATTTGGAAACCCAAATGAGATTCAAGATTGTTTAAGTTGCACAAAAAAACAAGTATGAAATGACCCGTTTATATCCGAAAAAATACCCTAATAACCACCAACATGAAAAAAACATATTTTCTATTATTATATTTAATATATATGTGTTTATTTATTTATCAAAACCCTTTTTTAATCTCACAGTATTTTATAATACATTAAAAAAAAAGGTTTTGATAAATAAATAACTATATATAGATTAAATATAATAATTATTAAAGAATTTTACTGAATATATATATATATATATATATATATATATATATATATATATATATATATATATATATATATATCCTAAATAATGTTGTTCATTGAGGAATATATATATTTTCTATTCCACTTGTAATATCAAAACAAACATTTTTTTAAAAATTAATTAATAAATCCTTTATTTGTAGCACATATTTCCGAAATTCATTAATTATTATGATGTTTAAAAAAAAATAAAAAGGTCGTCTTTTGGAAAGAATTTAGTATCAAGGCCCGTCGTAGAACAAAAACGGTTAACTGCAATTCGGTTTGGAGTATAAAAAGGTATGATTCGGGTAAAATAATATATAAAATAGTTTGATGAATTATTTATTTAAATACTTAAGATATACACGAATCATTAAATTTCTTTAAATAATGCTTATTTCGGACACTTATTTTTATACCACTTTTTTCATAATGATGTTCAACAAATAACAAATAATTGCATGATTTTTTTTTTAGAAATATAATAATATGAAAATAATTATAGTGATATATGAACACATTCACACCTTATATACAGAAAATATATAATTACACACAAATAAAATAATAATCAAAAACTAAGTACAATAAATATAAAATAACCTAAATATAATTAAATTAAAAGCATAAAAACACAGTCATACCTAATTGGATCATTAGATTCGTATGGTGTTTTTATGAAGGAATCTATATTTATCTCGTTCGCAGGATAAAAAAAAAGTAGGGCTCACTTTAGAAATAATTTTTTTTTTCTTTTGTCAATAAAATATATATTTGCGCCTGTCAACAATAAGTTGACAATCAGCAAATGTGATGACGATAATGATATAATGACATGACAGGCATGGGGACGTAGAAATAAATAAATGATTCAAATATTAATTTCAAAGGATATTAAATATTTTTATACAAGTATTTTCATGATATTCAATTACATCATGAGATTGCTTGAATATGACTTGTTGTGTCAATAGCTACGGATTGAAAAGATCTAGCCCGTTTCTAAAAACAATGCTTTGCTATCCCACTGAAAGATTTCCGATAAGATTTTAGTCTACTGTTGATAAATTTACAATAAAAGAAAAAAAAGACGATAGAATCTTTTCTGTAGGAAGAGGAACTAAACTTACCAACAATAGAATTACCGGCAATAGTTAATTAACGGTTTGATATAATCTGTTCATTTTAGACGGATGCGATCGATAAAATAAAAGTTCGGTTTGGTAGTAGGAATTAGTCGATGTATTTAAAAAATTATATTATATTTTTTCAATAGTAAAATTATAATATTGTCTCGTATTTGACTTTATACTAGAAGGATACGTTTATGTTTACGTTTTAAGCAGAAGCTAGAATAGGATATTATGCAAACTAAACTGTTATAACGACTCCTATTTAATAGATAAACTAAGATGATTGGAAGAAAAATTAAGAACGAAAATGGTGATAATCTCTGAAAAGCATGCCTAAAGTGAAGTTCTTGATTTCGCAATTCGATATAAAATTGTTTTTCCTTAATAAAGAATTGAAAGTGAAATACTTAACAGCGATTTACGCTAACGTACCACAAGAATTGTAAAAAAAAAAAATCTTAAAAGCTACTTAAAACCTTCTTTCATGTTAGATCTAGTAGAAGTTTATTTGAGCCTATAGTTAGAGATGTAATCATTAAAAAATATATAATTATATCTATCGTATCACTATTTTTCTTTTATGTCGAAATGTCAATTCAAAATATTGGTTCTAGATAATTTTAATCTGTGAAAAAAGTGGCTTTCTATCAATAATATTGATTGAAGCAGTATCGATCTCGTAGATTTTGTGTCTGAATTTTTGCTTGTATTGGCTTAGAGACGTAAAATCCTGAGGTCATAAATTCTTCATTATTTTTTTTAAGGCGAACCGGATTAATACTGAATTGAAGGCCTAGAATTTTAATAGCTTCGATAGTGAAAAGATAATATTTATATAGTGCATGTTACAATGTAGTATCAATTTATTAATGTTAAATTCTTCAAAAAAAAAAAAAAAAGACTGAAGAAAATCGATGTTGGATAAATCACTGAAAACCTTTAATAGTATTAACATCTATTATTAAAGACTGGATGGAACCTATAAAAAGAATTCATAATTTCATAACCAAAAAAACCAAACAATTATTAACAAAATATACCTACGAAAAATTAATTGAACCAATGTTTCTATGATATTCAGTTTAGACTTTTTTTTTTTTCATATAGGTTTAATACATTCCTAAATTGGTTTTATGTACATTAAATTGTTTTTTTTTATATAAAAGTATCGATATATTTCTTTAAAAACCATCAATATTTCTCCAACATCCTCGCTAGACCAAGGAGAACGTCACCCGTATTATTAAATAGCTAGTGTGTTTAAAACGTTTGCGAACTCCACGTGCCTTCGTTGTGTCACTAGCGAACGTTGTTTGCAATGTGAGTAATGAAACCTTGACGATAGTTTGCGAAGTATTAACGATATATCCCGATTTACCATCGTATCTGGGATTCATTTAGACATGGAAGGCCTTCAGGAAGTGGAACTGTAGAAAGCAGATGACGGGTGAGGAGATGAATCGGAAAGTGGAAGAGCATTTGGCTCTGAATGAAGGAGATGATGAGGTCAGACAGATAGTGACGCGAAAGCCGAGAATGGTCTCGCATCCCGATGAGCCTGCCATCTGGGTGAAGGACTCCCGCTGGCTCCCTGTAGTCTGCCCGGGTAGTCTACTTTCATCACCGGGTCTTAACTATTCAACAGGCTTTGTTTATCTTTGAGGGAGGGGTTGGCGGTAGAACGCCGCACGTAAAGCAGTCCAGTAATCAGTTTATTACCAGTGATATATTTAACTGTCCGGAAATACGGGGGTTTATGGATTTAAAATAAAATAACTGATACGAAACTATTTTTACCACTCAAAATAAGCTCCATTACTCTCAATACTTATTATATATTAACAAGTTCTGGAAATATTTATTCTAATTGTGTTATTAAGAGTAGAAGTCATCCACAACCATCTTTGTCTTTTATTCTGAAGTCTTCCTCTCGAACACTTTAACACCATCGTTCGACGATGCAATCGCTCACACAGGCATTCCTCCAGACTTAACAAATATGTCTGATTTTAAACTCGTTGAACGAGGTTATTCGAAAATCACGTTTTCGTAGAGTGGCAGAGAGAGAGAGAGAGAGATTAATAGATAGATAGATACATAGACACGTAGAAATTTTTGATTTTATTAATGTCCCTAAATAAACATAGTTTTTATCTCATTAGGACTTTTCGTGCTGTTAATTATATAATCCCATATGCGAATCTCCCATATCATATAAGAAATCTTTGGGAATATAATACGATGGGATTCGTTTTAGTATGGCATGCGAATTACGAAAGTAATAAAGTAATTAGCTGTTTATATGGTAGAAGTCATAAACTTAATTATCTTCGCCCGTTAGCTCACAAGCAACGACTCAAGAAATCATCAACGGAACTTGATTTAATTAAATAATATCACGTGTAGTTGAAGTGTTTACAAGAAACGCTAAAACGTGATTGTAGATTTATTTAAATTTTTATGTCCTGTATTGTTATATATGTTCCATAAATTTTTATTTGGAATAAAATAACAAGATAAGATATGAATATTTTCCGAGCCAAGTGTTGTAAGTGCCAAAAAATATAAATTTCTTGCTCAAAATTGTGACAATGAATCATGAAATTAACAAGGACCAGTATATTTTTCTCAAAATGATCTTATGCTTCTATTCAAATATAATGTCTTATCATGTTGTGTTTTTGTGCATTTGGTATTTTACACAGTGTATTTCATAAAATATATATTTTTGAATTATACAAAAAAAAAAAAAAATTGCCAGAAACATAAATTACTCAACAGTTTTTTTCTCTATATTTACTTTTGTTGGAGCTTTTACCAGAAAACGCTCCATACATTGCCATAAAACCTTTCATATATTTTGTTAATGTTTCGAATTTATTTTAAATATAATTAATTTAAATATTAATTAAAGGATCTTGTGGATAAAGAGAGAGCATTTTTAAATTCTTCAAATTCTTAGAATCTAAATTGAAATTACATATATCTACTACAAGACCTACAACTAGGGTTTGTGGATACCTCTTTCAAATTTGAACCAAATATTTAATTTGTTTGAATGGAAAGGAGAAATATTGATTATTTATCACTTTACCATTTAATTGACTCTTCAATTTATATGGAATTTAAAGTTCTATTCTACTTAATGCCATATCCTAGGTCTGCCTATCGATTCGATATTATGTTTTCATTCAACTATTTTTACCAAGAGTTTTATTTTTAAAATTTCAAACTCTGGATTAGTATATTTGTTTTTAATCCTTATTTAAAAAAAACAATAATATTCTTATTGCGCCTTAAATCTTAATGAGCTAAGAGAGACGTGTTACGATCTGAATTTCAGTTAAGAGCAAGCCATAAATCATTTCTCTTTTATAAAGTTAGCAATGCTCGTTCGTCTTTTCTTGGTCAGTAACATCCTACGCAAGAAGCTGGACCAATAACTTAACCTAATTGAGGTGTCATATTGGCGTCAGTTTTGATGGATGGGTTCACATGTACGCAGTTCTGTGAAGGTTTTTCTACCTTTAAATTTTAAGCTATTCTTCTCAATAAATTAACTACAAAAATGGTTGGAATTTGAATCGCACTGTCTTCCCGAATTCTAGAACCTGATAAGATTATTTAGTTGCAATCAATTACTCTTTTAATAATTTTTATACATATTTGTGAATGTTTAGGATACCATGGATTCTATGGAGGCTAAACCAAGGACTAAAACCAATCGATAATGTCGTAATGAAATCATAAACGAGTTCAATACTCTTTAGAACCAAAGGTGTCCAGAAGGAGATGGAGATCTTATTCCACCCAAAATAAGATTTCTGAGGTCAAATTTGTACGGAGTCAAGAAATTTTGAATTGAATAATATTTTAGTGGTGTTTCGGTTTGAGAAACATTTAAGTTGAATAAAAATATAGAAATATCACATCAAGTTTGTTTGTATATTTTTTATGATTCTTATTTTAATTGCACCATTTTTAATAAGAGGAGTGGCAAAAAATAAATTATTTCTTAAGGATTAAATGATTCCATTTTTTATAATAGAATATTCCAAATAGATTTTTTTTTGTTTGTTTTTGTTTTTAAATCTTCACTGGTAAAGATATAAACAGTTTTCGTTCAGCCAGTATGCCCATGGATCACACAAATCAAACTAAATCTTCTGGGATTTTTTAAGTTAGTTTTAATATGAAGAGGGACTAAATAATACATTTTGGTATTTTTGGTATCCAAATTGTGTATTTTTCTCTTCTTACTGATTCTTCAATTTTGAGTGATTACTGAGTCTGAATTTTAGGTCCTGCGTGAAAAAAAATTTAAATAAGTTTGAAATACGGCACCACTAATGATCGTGATTAGATTTTAGATAGGTAAGATTTTAAGCGATAGCGTTAAAATGTTTATAACTAACTTTTAATTCAATTATATGTCTTGGGATTATTTTCAGTTAAAGAGGAATATTTGAAAAGTAAAATGTTTCTATAAAACATAATCAATTCATGTAGAGTTATTCAAAATCAAATCAATTTTTAGTTTGGTTGCTAAAATATTTTTTGAAAACACTAGTGGAACATCTAAAAACAGTTCGTGAGATTAATTATAAAAAAAGAATTGTTCGACAAAATCTTTGTATTTTGTGATTTGCAAGAATTCAGATACGGAATTAAAATCTAAGAACAACGTCAAAGCGTCTAATCTTCCGTCTATTATATTATTTTATGGAGAGAAGAATATTTGGGATGGTCAGTCAAAAAAGAAGGCAAAAATAAATGACAATATTTATTTTTACATATGCCGACGTTCCGACCTGAAGTTCAGGCCTTCATCAGGGCTGTCTCCATAAGCGTTGCAGGGAGAAATCCCTTTCTTTTTCTCCCTGCAACACTTATGGAGACAGCCCTGATGAAGGCCTGAACTTCAGGTCGAAACGTAGAAAACTTTTTTGACTGACCACCCCAACTATTCTTCTCTTCATTATCCATTACAGTCAACCATTTACCAATTATATATTATTTTATTTTATTTGACTTTTTTATTATTATTACCATTTTTATACGTTTTTATTTTTTTATGTATTATTATCTTCATCTTATTTACTTTTATTTTTGTTTAGTTAAATTTATTCTGATGTTGTATGTAATTATTGCATGGATGAATACTTGTCGCACCAATATTGGTATAATTGCCCTTCAAAGTGGCAAATTGAACATTACTGTGTATTTGTAAAAAAAAAAAAAAAAAAAAAAAAAAAATCAATCAAATTCTTTTTAAAAATAATAGTGGTCACAATCAATTTACCAAAGCTGTTTGATGCAATCATTAATGTAATATATTTGGATAACGTTAAGGGTATTTTTTTTATTTAGAAATGCCCAGCTTTGACATGGAATGTTTTTTATCAAACGTTTTACAATTTTCAAGAGCCTAGCTGTTACCTAAACAAACCCCTTCTACAACCTTATTACTCTCAATAGAAAATTTAGCCGAATAATGGTCCTTTATAAGGATCAAGAAGTGACGGAAATGAGTTCTTCCTGTTGGGATAGTCCAGGAGGCAGTGGTTCCTTCCTTTTCTCGCGCTGGTTCTCGTTCTTCTTCCTCCTCCTGGACTTTCTCCCGCCCGGCAAAGAGTGCGGTAATCCATTGGCAGCGTTGAATCGTGAACAGCGTGCGCTTGTATGCAAGTGTACAATAGTTCGGTGCCGGTAGTGCTGCGGTGGCAGCGAGTGAAAGCGCTTCGTAAGTAGCGAGTCATTGTGCATCTGTCCCCTTTAATGCATAACCACTCCGGTACTTTAAACCAGGGGTTGAAACTTTTATAGAACTTTTTCCGAACTGTTCCATTGCAACAGTTTCTGTGAAACTTTTTAGAAAAAAAAAACAAGTAAGGTGTGTGCTTTAGACAACGCGATAGGAATGAAAACATCAACAAGCCGAGATTAATAATATGGAATATAAATTATAAATAAATAGCTCATTATAAAGAGGATGAAATGCTCAACATTTCTCTCGCTTAAAATATGCAGTTCCGGCTTTTAGTTTCTGAGATATTTAAATCCACATCTTCGAAAAAACACGTTATAATTTGGTTTTTGACACTATTTTTCCTTTTTTGCCTCTCTAACATGACGTATTGTTAAGATACAATTTTGAATAATAGCTGATTACTGATAGGATGAAATGACGAACATGTCCCTCGCTAACAATATGGTGGTCCGATTTTTGAGATATACAAAAACACTTCAATTAGTCAACTCCAGCCGACTTTTCCTGAGCCTAACACATCGTAGATATGGTGGATCAATCTTATTCACTCTCAACAAAAAAAGTGCAAACTCTCCTAAAGAAGTTTTCAAAAAAATATTAAATTAAAAGTTTTGATGGACATTTTTTTATTATAAAGTTCCAGGTTTATGGTAATAGTTTAACTTGTTCATGTTCAAGTTCCCAAAAAAAGGTTCCGTTCAGTGAAAAAGAAAGGGAAGAGAATCTTAAAATTGATGGCTTCATGAAATCAATGAATTTCATGAAAGATTAACGAAGAATTAGCTTAACCACAAAAAAAAAACACCTTTGAGAAATAATATATAAACTTCTGTGTCCCTTAGTTGACAAACAAAAATTCGTTTTAAAAATTTGCTGTTTTTAGCCTAACTGTTATGCTGGTGATTAGGCCGGGATCACGCTGAGCCAGAAGGCTTTCCTCATTCAGGTGCCCATAGAGGCTTGGTGTGCTCCAAAATCGGACCATGTCTGATAAAACAAAATCAATAATTTGCCACAGTCGGATTTGAACCTGGGTCCTTGATAATATAAACACAGTGCCTTACTCACCTAGCGACAACGCTCTCATCTAATCAATTAACATTTCGAAATTTACATTATATAATTACATTACGTGTATTACATACACTTCTTTATGTAGTGTTTATGAGTATCTCACTTATCTACAAAATATAAAATCTCGTACACCACTTTTAGACATATTCTTGTAATGAAAGATGATGTGTATATATATATATGAGTATGATATATATATATATTTGCCTTGTTTTCCGAACGAATTAATCCTCTTTTCACGAAAATAGTTTATATTAAAAATTAAATCAACAAAGGGAATTTATCATTCTTATCAATTAAGCATTAGGAATTAATCATCTTTATCATCCTTATATCTTATATTAATCATAAATCATCCAATAAGATATATCTTGATTAGGTCTTAGAAATCTTAAAGTTTTCTATAAGCTAAGTTTATTTGTTTGAAAATTTATATAACATATGAGTCCTTCTAAATGGCTGAATTCATTAAAAAATATTTCACAAAACTATTTACATAAGGCTCGAACAAAAAAAAAACCATTACAAAACGTCTGCTATTACTAATTAACAGTACGAAATGCGGGTAATTATTGAACAACATTCACAAATGAAGTTCCGGTTTACTTTCATTTCCGATTTTTAGTTTGGATATTTCCCATGTTTTCAAGAGATAACAGCTTTTAAGAAATTACAATTTACATTTAAATGTCATAATAAGCCTTCGACATACTTCTCTGTAGTGATAATGTAACTTTCCTTTTTCTTAATAGATCAGTTACTTGGAATATCTTCTGTAATGGCAATTGACGTAAGATCGTTTTACAATAATGGAACGAGATGAAACTACTGCCATCAATGCTTCCAAGATCTGACTGACACCATAGGGAATTCCTTAAATAAATCGGTATTGATATGGGAACAGTCTAGATTTTACCTGATTTATCTTTCACGCAAACATTCCTAATATTGCAGCATCCGAGTTACTGAAAAAAATGTAACTTACCCTACTTTAAGATTATTTATAATACTAGTAAAAACCCATGTTCTAAGCGTAATGTGTATTGAATAAAAAGATAAAATAATTGTTGAATGATCGGTTTGGATTTGTTTGTTTGTTGATTTGCAATCAACATTATTTTTTATTTCTGTATACACAGAAATAACGCAATTAATCTATGTCGTTTTGGTTCTGCATAGTACGATTCCACATGATACAGATCAGGACCCATGTGAAGAAATAACTTGTTCTTTCGCTCCTTTTATTTATCAAAATGCTTTTTATGAAAGCATAGTTTGACATTACCTCCTCCCCCGTAAAACCCAACAACTCTTGGTTTCATCCCTTGCAAACCCCCCCCCCCTTTGATTTACGACTGTCAAGACTTTTTAGGGGTTGCCAGAGAATCGCGAATAGCCCAGTATTAAGTCGGCTATATCCATCTCAAAAGTCTCAGTTTTTCCTTGAATTCTTCCTATTCCTGATATATCAGGTAATTAGAACTCGGTGACCATCCTACATATTACAGAGCCTGCAATTTAAATCATCCATCAAATCCAGTCCATCCGATCGTGCCTTTCTGACTTCTACCCCCCTACTCACTGAACTGCGGCGTTTGACAAGTCCTTCCTCACCTGAGCTGCTTCCTTCAGGAACTCTATCCCACTTATCAACCTCCATACTTCAACACTTTTCTCGTTTAAAGCTCTCTTCTTCAATTACATTTTCCTTTCCCAGTCTAATTAATAATTCACTATATTAAACTCACTTTTCCGAACATTAAATGTTTCCCAGAGTTTATTTTAGCGCTACATATCCAACAACTTATTACCAACCTGTTTTCTTTATTTACTTTCAAAACAGTTTTATTATTTTAGCTAATTTAAAAATTTATTTTTATTCGCTATTTTATTTATAATTTTATTTTTTGTCAATGATTCATGCTACATTGTCCTGGCCGTTATATAGTGCACTGTAAATTTTATTCTTGAGAGACTTTGTTATAGAATAATAAAGACATTTTTCATTTCATTTTATTTTAAAAAATAGCTAATAGATTATTCGTATGGTGACGCATGGTACGGAATATAGCGAGACGAAATTCGGGATCCGTCTTATATTCTATGAATTCCACGCTGAACATAGATGTATTCCAAATTATAGAGGAAATCTAGAGACTTGAAGACTTTGTATATTACACTATATAAAAGCATTTTTTTATTATTTTTATTTATTTTTTTACAAATCTTTTATTTAACTTATTCTTTGGAAATAAACCAAAATAAGCTCTTTCACTTCGTCATTCTAGGCTGTCACTTTGTAACATTTAATTTTGCTAGTTCGAGAAAGTGATATGATTTAAGTAAAATATGCTCAGTCATTTCCGAACACCACAAGTTAGATATATTGTAATATGCTTAGTTAAATAATTTATTATTAAAACAAAACATACTAAAACGTTCAATTAGCATTTAGATAATTTCTAGAATATTTGTTTATCATATTGAAAAATATATTTAAATGAAATCAAACATTCCCATAAAAACGTGGGAGTGGATTCTAAGTAATAAAGACAGGAAACCGTAAAACATGGAACCTTTAGAAAAGATTGTTTGTGAATGGAGTAATGTGTATTTAAATATACAAGGTCTATACTGAAGTAAATATTTCGCAATGCTTTGAGAAAATTACTTATATAACTATTAAGAAAATTGTTTTACTTATCTCGCAGGTTAATCTAAAAATAATTAACATGGTTACTCCGTGTAACTTTTGGAGGACAGTATTCATTTTATTTTCAGATTTATCTGCTTTACACAAGCACATCGATAAACGCACGTATGCACGTGTGTGGGTTTCAGGAAGGGTTGTCCGTTTCTCCTCTCTCTATGAACAATAGCGTGTCTCAACGATTGCGTGAATAACCACGCAGAAACATTGAGTTACACCGCCCCTACTTATCTATCTTTATATATATTTTATATTACTTATCTATCTTTATATTATATATATATATATATATATATATATATATATATATATATATATATATATATATATATATATATATATATATATATATATATATATATATATATATTTAAACAATTATTATGAAATGCATTAAAAAAATAAAATTAATAATTTAACAATAACATTTATTAATTAATCTTATCACATTGATAACAATCACATTAGCTTAATATTTTTTTTTGTGATTTTTAATTTTATTATGATTACATAAATATAATATGCTATATTGAATATTAAATCTATCAAGAGTTTGATAAATCTATCAAAGTAAAGTTATTCATTTATATGATGTATAATAAAATATGATATGTGTGTATTACATTGAGAGTGCATCCACGGGATCAAATATAAATCCAGTGGCTCTATGATGAGATCAATATCTTGCTGGGAGTGCAATCATCTTCTGTTTATATTCTATTTACGGCAAAGGATATTACTACCTCAAGGTCAGCCTCTTGCTTTTTAACACCTGGCCTCATATGCTGCTCGATAAACTTTTCATTTATTTTTATGATTTTATGGTTGAAATAAGATTGTTATTATGGTAGTATGAGGTGCTAATTTCGCAATACGGTAATTACGTAGGACTTAAATAAAATATAGATTTGTATTTTACGTGTTTTTATTTGATATGTATCATGGCAATCTCAAAGTCAAGGAAGAGATTTATTGAAGTGATGCTTCATTAGGTGCGCTCAGCACTTTATTTAGTGGTTATTGAATAAGAATAAACCGTCACGTTCGGCTATGTATCTAGTGTTGTCCAAATGCGACACAAAGAGGAGTCTTAT